CATGTCATGTGTTGGCTATGAATGCATGTAATCTATGGACAACCCATTCGTACAAAAACTTGTGGACACAACGCCTGACACCTATTGACCGCTAATACTAACCATAAGTTTAAAAGGCTTTGGATTTGAAAATCTCGATTTAAATGTCTTATAATTAAAATTATAATTCAGTAAAACTTTGGATAATTATATGAATTATACATAAAAATTAACATTATAAATACAACTAATTAAAAATATATTAAAACTTCATTGACTTAACTGTTGGTTAAATAAAATATGAGATCATTTATGGCGAGCAAACTGTAATGATATATACTGTCCGATGGGTAGGTAGGCGCTGTCAGCACTAGTAGCCCTTTAAGTCAATCAGTAGGGTCATTATTGACCTAAACATTGATACATGATGAAATCGGGCTATGATTCAGTTGATTAATCCATACCCGACCAGTGCTTCCCTCCTAACGACGGGGTTCATTGGCTTATTCTGACACCCATTCCCCCTAAACATCCAGTCCTTTCCCTCCTAAACCCCCTTTTAAAGCACAGATGAATTTAAACATTACCCGTATTTTACATTTAAATATCCAATAATTGTGGTTTTAGTTGAAATTATTTGCAATTCTTATTCAATATTTATAAAAATATTTTATTTTTCATTTTAAACATTTATATTTAAATTATAAATATAATTTGAGTGACAAATGAGAACTATAGACAAGTTTTTACTTTCATTTCTTACGTTAAAAATTAATTAATTTCATAAAAAGTCTAATAAATAGTGGATTTTGTTTTGTGTGTTTTAATAGTGTGTTTGTTTCGGGACTTTCGGTCCCATTATATAACAAATTTGAGTAACAATTTTGTGCCAAACGGTTGGCCCGATTGTGACCATAATAACGGTGCTGTCAGTTCATGGCTGACATTCATCACAGCGGTGCGGCGATTACGGGGACTTGAGGTCTACCAGAATCCAGGTGTACAGCCTTTTAAAGACCAGGTCCACCACTTTGTACTTAATGTTATTAATGCCATCCGTTTTGTAACGCCGTTTACCGCTGTATAGCTTCTTATATCTATTGATGGGACAGGTATTCAAAGCATACCGTAGTGTCAGTTAGTAATTAGTACCATAATATTATAATGATATACTCGTGTGTCTCATGACTCACTAACTTTAGTCAAACATATACTAATTTAATTTCAAAGTACCGGTGATTAAGGACAGGTAGTATTGATATACAAGTATAGAAACTACTGTTAAAATCATGTCTAAAAACTATTGCTATGGAAAGACATTCTAAATCAATAGACAATTGTCAACAATATGTGATTAACTAATAAAATATCATTTCAATAGCTGGACACACGAGTAGACAGACCTGTAGGGTGCACCTACCTATCGGGATTGGGTGTATCGCCCTTATGTTTGAGCATTTTATATCTAGCAATACTGGCCGAGTATCTGCTGATTTTGTAACCATAATGACGCACTCTATTGGACCTATAGGAGAGGGAACGGTAGGCAACAAAAAAAAGCAAAATTAATGACAATTAAAAGTATAATTGAATGAAAAAAAATAACAACAAAAAAGTCATTAAAAAGTTTACTTTAAATGAGAGAGAAATCGTAAAATGCGTATAAAATAGATATAAAACAGTGTTATAGAGGGGAACGGGAGGGCTTACATGTCGTCGTCCTCTCCACCCCAGCCCCAGAACTCGTTGGAAAAGCCATTAATTCTCTTGAATTGTTCGGTCGTCAGTGCACTGACACCGCCGAAGAGGTCTTTGTAGGGAAGTCTGCGTTTAGGCCACAAACACATGGATTAGAAGTGGATTTCAAAAACAAATTATCAAAATTTACACAAAAATTACTTTTTCTGAACACAAAATATTAAATTAACGGAAACTCTCTCTGTATTGACTTAATATACTGTGGGTTTAATTTATAACAAATTCATTAATCACTATAACCTTCACTATAACGGAGAGTACAGTATATTAATGTTATTTCTGACGAAACCATAATTAATGAATGCATTTATAATTTCAATCACAAACTGATTTCATTAAAACTTATGTTTTCACACATTTTGTGACCAAAAACATTCAAAACAAATATTAATTGATATGAAACTATAAATGCATTTTAAATTTAATTAATATAACTTATAAACTCATCAAAAGCTTAATTAATTAATATAAACATTTTGTGTGCAAACAAAACCACTACATGAGGGGTCGGTAATCATCGTACCTGTAGCTGAACTTATCGATGGCCACAGACATATGCCGGGGCTGATCGGGACAGGTGTACAGATTCCTGTCGTCCTCGGGAATAAGGTCCACGTCATGGAAAATAAAGCACTGGTAGTCGTACTGTTTGAGCGCCTCCAGGAAGCCGATGT